CAAATTAATTTTGTTGTTGTTTTTTTTTAGTTAAACCCCTAATGCGTGGTTTCACTTTCCAATTTCAGTTCAACTGCACTTAAAAAATGATTGTTTATTTATGGTATGCATTGCAATTTACTTTTGATATCAAGTATTTTAATTATAATTTCGCAAACGAAAATTCTGAAAGTTCAGTTTTTTTTAATCGTACATTTTTTGCTAATAAAACGAACGCATTTACAATCATAGAGTTTTGTTTAAATATGTATTTTTTACTTTCACTTTTTCGCTTTGATAATTATAATAAAATTATTTGATTATATTTTTGTAGTGTTGTATTATCCAAGTCTTAATATAAGAATTCAGCTAAAGCACCATTTTATATAATACTATATTACTCATCGTCATCAAATACTTGCCATATGAATGTACATATACATATATATACTCCTTTTCTTTTTGTATATACATATTTTATAACAAGATTATTTTAATAATTTTTTTTAATAATATGACTTAGCGCATTCAATGAGCATTCCAAAAATTACCAATTGCATGTGATTTTACAACAGCAAAAATGATGGATTTTGAGAAATTGTTTGCCAGAAAAGTAAAATTTATTACTAACGTATTTATTAGCATTAACAAATCATGTTGCCTTTTCTTTATTGCGTTATTATTCGTTTCTTCGAGTTAAAGGTAATAAAATTGTGGAAATTTATTATATTCCAGAACTAAAATTATGTTTTTTTGTAGACTCGGTGTAAATATAGTAAATTCTTTCTAAAAACTTGAAAAAAAATAAAAATAAAATCTTCTTTTGCCAGTGTGTTGAAGAAAACAATTTGTAAGTTGTGAATATCGTTGACATAAGTTTTTAAAGCCTTAGTGACACCAGCTTGAGAACTTATTTAGCGCATTACATCAATTTTTCATGCGACAAATTCTAGCTCTGAAGTTGCACTTTGAAATTTGGTTTGGTTTGGTTGAAACACTTAAATACCCACTACTTTTTTTGTCGCCATAGATATTTTGGCATATCTTAATGGTTTCGTGTGTCCAGATTACGAATTTATTCATGAAAATTTTTGTTTTTATGATAATTGAATTTCTTATAGTTTAACCAATTATCGGCTTATTAGCAATAAAATTTATTATTCCAGTGAAGATGTCCCACTCTCAGGTTCTTTACCGAAAATATGCAAAAAATTATGCAAAAGTTTTAAGGTTTAATAAAAATCAAAAGTGGAGGTATCCAAACCTATAGTATACTAAATGTCCAGTTTTACTCAATGAAAATCTCCCTTTGAAATTTCAAAAGTAGATCGCATGCTCTCAGTAACAATTATGCCGCCAAATTCCCAGAAAGGGAAGAAGAAGTACAATCTATCAGTGGAAGTGAAAGGGAGGGTTAAACATCTACGTCAAAGTTATTTTCTATGATAAAGGATTGTTCCGGAAAATGAAGCTTGGAAAAGTATAGTGTTGACGTAAGGATGAGAGTTGCCCAGGCGATGTTTTATAATGAATCGATCAGTTTTGTTAAGCTCAGTAATAAATATTGCAAATGAGTTGGTTGGCATTTTTTTGTTTTTTTGTTATGTAAACAATGGAACATTTTTATAATGTTGCCATATAATGAGGAAAGAAAAAAAAAGTTTGATGGGATGATCTATTATGGCAGATGATTCTTAAAAAGAGATTGCCAACTGGAAAATTATAAGCGAAAACCTCTTAAGATGCATTTAATTACGATATAACAAATGTTTTTGACATTTGTCTCTTTATTTACTTCTACTTGTATGTATCCTTATTTTTCAAAACAAAATTGAAATTATAGAAAAATCTGGAAATAAAGATTTAAAAATAAATCAGAGCAAATCTTACTAAGTCATTGATAGTATCATAAAATGTGAGCACAAATGTATCCAAAATCGATCTTATCTATAGGGCAACAAAACAACTGAAGACCTGTGTTATTAATCTGTAATTTATTGCCTTAAAATGGTTCACAACTGTTAAAAATCAATTAAAATTAACTAAATGACAGACTTTGAAAAAAAACGTTGAATTTTTGAAAAAAAAGGAGTTGAAAGATAAACTCATTAAGCTGATCAATCACTTTAGGAGACGGTAACTCAAAAACTATTTCTTTAAATTTTGGCATGTTATTTTTTTAAGGTAACGATTATTGAAATTATTAAAATTTTGATATTCATAGTTTGTTTTTTTAATTAATGGGATCTAGATGCTTAGTACGACATCTTCAATAATTTTTTTCAATTTAAGAATTTAAATCTATGATATACTTTTTTCAAAAAAATATACCAATTTAATGTGGAGTATTGTGTAAAAAAAAATATATATATATATATATGTATGTGATTAAAGTTAGTGCTTCAACTCCAGAGACATAACATAAAAAGAAATTCATTATGAAAATGTATAATTTTCAAAATAAAAGATTCGAAACAATATTTTCGAAAAACACATTTTAAAAACTGTCAGCATATGATACCATGTGCTAAATATTGGGCATATTTAAATAGTATACAACAAAAATCTGTTTTCAAACAAATCTTTGCTCAGCACTAACAAAACTGCATCAATACATTGTCTTGTATGTATGTATGTGCGGAATATATGCTATAATATCATAGTAACCACTTTGTATACAATATATGTATATTTTCATATATGCTAAATTATTTTTGTATGTACAATATTATTCTGTTCTTTATTTTCGTGAATTGCTTGTATTTTTATAATATTTTGTGTTACGTTTTAACGTAATGTCCGCTACAATAAAATCCCTGTAGGTTTTCTCTGCATATTTTACTTTAAAAGTTGTTATGAATCTTTGTAATAAAAATTAAAAACTAAAATTAGCAAATATTTCGTACTATAAACCATTCGAATTGGCTTACAAACCACTTTTATAAATATTTGGTGCTTTATAACCAAAAGTTGAAGCTTTTTTCTTAAGTTCTAACATTACATACAAACAAAACTAGAATCAGTAAATGTATGGGTAATAAAAAAATGGGTAACACTGTTTGGTTATGTACAATAATTTCATTTAACAAATTTACGTATATTCGCTATAATTTAATCATTTCGGGGCGCCTAAACCCACCCAACTGGTTAAAACATGTTTAAGGTACTAATATTTTGTAATATAAAAATTGGATTAGCATCTAAAATAAATTATTAAGGCATAATATGTGTTTGTTCTTGTTATTAATATTGTATTATTATTATTATGGTTTACTATAAATACTTATGTAAGCAGCAGCATCAGCAAAAGCGGCAATATTTTGTACAATGCATTGTGTTGAGGCTCTCGAAGCGTTTGGAAACCGAAAAGCAATTTCATGGGTTGGGAAGAATATACCGTTACTACTTGTTTATGAAATGCAATACTGGATGCTTTTTCCCCCAACATTTTTGTAATTTCTATGATAGTTTAAGTTTAGGTGCAACTAAATTTAAATTCTTTTTTATTTTGTTTTTAATTTTAAATTGCTTGTATTGTTGTATTTTTACATACATACACATGTATGTGTGTGTAATCGATTGTCTAATTATGTATAAGAGGCATAAGGTTCAAAATTATTATTATTTTGGCATAAATTATGTTAAAAAGTGCAGTTGTATTATTCGATTTCAAACTTTGCTTCATTTAAGGAAAACTGATTGGAGGCAAATAAAGATATGAAGAAAAATAATTTATTATTTTGCACAAAATTAAATTGTACCAATTGCTTGTTCGTTTCGTCACTCTTCAAGACCTATTCAAGATATCAAGGCCTCGAAAATAATTAATGGTGGTTTGAACTATATCAAATATTCGAAAGTTCGCGTTTTTTGGAAATATAATTTTTTATTTATTTTCGAAGATTACACTTCGGTCGTTAATAGCATCTGTCAAATAAAATTGACAGAAATAATATTATATACCATTGAAATAAGGTGAAAACGTAGATGATAACCATGGGTTTACTTTTCTAGTAACGTATTTACATACCACAGGTCTTAATGATATTTTCAATAAGCTAAATTTCGAGCCTCCAAGTCAAATATTTTTAATTTGGCGAAATTATTCGAATTCGAAAAACAGAGAAATTTATTTTTTACTTATAATTCAATCTCTCAAAAAACATTTGTTTGGTTCAATACCTAACCGAGTGTTATTAATAGCATTTCAAAATCGAAACAAATTTTGATAATTATGTTTTTTTTCTTTTTTAAGTCTTAGCATCATTCTCCTGGTTATGATTTTGATTTTATTTAAGACCCTTAAAAATCTTCCAACACGTTTTTCTAGGTTAGATCGAAAAATTTTATAAATATGAAGTTCAGCACAATATTTTTTTAAGCAATGCCCTTGGATCATCCATAACGTTCGAATAAAATAGAAAGGATTCGCCTCATAATTTATTGAAAGTTGAACGTAGACAATTTAGTTCCATTGATAAACTTTTTAAAATTAACAAAAAAAAAAAATACAAGAATATATCCAAATTTTCATTCTTCAGGAGTTTTCGTAGTCGAAAACAAAAAAAAGCGTTCACTTCATCTGCACCAAAGATATAGTATCCTTTATATATGCTATAGTGGTGCGATATCGGCCGTTCCGACAAAAGAGCAGCTTCTTGATGAGAAAAGTACGCGTGCAAAATTCCAGATCAATAACTTAAAAGCTGACGGAATAGTTCGCGTGTACATATACAGACAGACGGGCAGACAGACGGAAATGGCTAAATCGACTTCGCTAGACACGCTAATAATTTATATATAAACTTTATAGGGTCTTCGACGTTTAATTTTGGGTGTTACAAACACCGTGGAAACGTAATATACCCTCTTCAGGGTATAAAAATTGTAGAATTTTGCAAGTTGTCGATTGAAATCTAAAATATTTTTCAAAATTGTTTTATTTTTGTAATATGAAATAAGAAACTCTGACCCGTCTTAGGAAATACTGACTATTTACAACAATTCAATAAATACAAATATTTTTTTATAAAGAAAAACTGAAAATTTATTTTCACAAAAACAAAAAAAGGCAACTTAAATCGGTTCATTGACAAGCATTGAAATGATTCAAATTCATTATTTGAATTTAAGCTTAGAACAAAATCTACCAAATAATAATCAAAATAAACAAAAATAATTTGGCAATACTTGTAATATTAACAATAACAAAATTAAACCGTTAGGTACACAATATAACTAATTCGAGTAAACTATGCAAATATAAATAACAAACATGGATAAAGGGGGTGGATGGGGGGCTGGTGTATGACATAAAGTTTGAAAGCAAACATCCGCATTAAAGAGGCATACAAATATAAATAAACTCGTTTACAAAACTTTGTAATTGTGTTGGAAAATGTTCAATTTTCAATACTAAAGTGAAAAATGATTTTTCCACCAATTATGAACTTGTATGTAAATAATTATGTAAATTCTGTAGAAAAATAATCGCCTTAATATAGCTTATTTACAAATAGTTATTTGGTAAACTACAAACATAATTGCTAAATTAATTAGAAATAAATCATTTCTAAAACATAGCAAGCCTTAAGAGTGTCCTAGATTAGATTTAGAGCAAACAAACGGAAAATTAATAAACAGTTCAGCTTTTAGAAAGCAGCTAAGTAAGTGTATGTACATATGTATAAGCTTAAAATAAAGTTACAATCAGTTGATATGTTACATGAGTACTTGTTATTTTTGATGTCTGTATGTATTATGTGTATATATACAATGCAGCAATTGGCAGCTCACTAAATCTCTAAAAACCTAAAAGTTATCATTAAATTTGCAGCTAGACTCAAATGAGTGCCTCAATGCGGATAAGCGTTTCAATTAACAAAAACAAAAAAAAAATGTTACTAATGTCCCTAAAAACTATACAATATTTACAGGAAATGAAAAACTACATTTTGCTTATGCTTACAATAAGGTCTAACAAAAATCATAAAGAATAAACAAAAAAGAAAGATAATAGTAAAAGAAATGAGGCTTGTAACTAAACTAATTACACACTATTTAATTGGATATATGTCGATATATATAGATATACGAGTATAGTATATGTAGATATAGGTTTGTGTGATAAGCTAGTTTAACTAGCAACTTAACAATTCCATTTAGTTTTTAGCTTAACGCTAGCAAAGCACGGCTTAAAATATAGATTGTTGCTGATTTTGTTGTTGTTGTTGTTGCTGGTGCTGTAATTGTTGGTTCAGCTGAAACATTGGTTGTGGCGATGTCGGGTGTTGGCGTTGTTGTTGTTGATGTTGCTGCTGCAATTGATTCAAGCGCTGCATGTGTGAGTTGGTTTGTTGCTGTTGCGCATGCTCCAACTGAAAACCACCATTCAGATAATTTTGATGATTCTGATGAGCATGCGCCTGCTGCTGTTGATGCTGATATTGTTGCGATTGTGTTGGCGTATGCTGCGAATGCAATTGCTGTTGCTGTTTGTGTTGCTGTGGCTGTGGTGTCGAGCTCAGGGAAAGGGAAGAGAAGGAAGCTGCAGAGGGTGCCGGCCCAATGCCTACTAACATTTGTGACTTCGAGTTTCTCGTAAGCGGCTTATGATTCTTGACACCGTCGGAGGAATGTTGCCACTGCCAACAGGCGCGGCAGAAGTATCTGATTTTAATTAATGAATAAAATAAATTAAATTTACTCAAAAATTAATGGAAACTTCATCATTTATAGGAACATATTTTTTTGAGTAAAAAATAATCCAATTCTCTTTGTACAATATATCGATTATTTCACGTGATTACATTTTTTTATATTTTTAACTCACCTAAAGCACGACAGTTCGCGACAGAAGTATGGTCCATGCTGCACACCACAGATGGAACAAAGCGAGTCTTCGAGATATGGATCAACTTGCACTTTTTTGGTGAACTTGGCTGTGCGTATTTCGATGAATGCCGCCGAAACCGCCTTCATATATGAGCGATTATTGTTGAAAGTAACACGTCCGGAACCAATTGGGTACTTGTATTTGTCGGTGTCAATACCTTGAAAAAAATAGTATGTTTTATATTAGTTGCTGATGATACATCAGTATTGCTTAACAATACTTGCAATATTTATAGTATCTCTTTAGGTATGAGGTATTTATGTACTAGTAAAAATTGGGTCTATAACTATAACTATATTATTAACAATAACATTTTCTAATTTTTCAGGATTTTTGAATTCCATCTCTAAAGAACTGCGCCGGCTTGGCGGCCAAGAATGGAACACGCCAATTTTTGATGCCATGTACATGACGTTGAATCTTTGGACGTTGTTTTTGTTATGGAATGCAGAAATGCTGTTTCGCTTCAAATAATTGTTTGCAAAAAAAACTCGTTTTTTAAGGCCTGCTAGCTAATGATCTGAAACTTTGTTATGACTTTGCACATTAGTAATGTTCGCAACCGTGGAAAGGTGTTAAAGCCAATTCTATGTTTCCTTGACAAGATAATAAAAATCGTCGCTACGGTAGGACCACTAAGGTTATCAGTAGGGTATTTTGACAGTGTAGACATAGCGAGAACGAGAATATTTATACATATATAAAGGGTGCATTTTTAAAGTTCGTATACTTATGGCTATCACGATTGTGTCTTAGGAATACCTTAGATCTAATTTTCTTTATTGGTTAGATGGAAATCGCGAACATTTTCCTCTTGTAGTCACTTTTGAAGGCTACGTTAGCTCCATATTAAGTTTTAAAAGAAATGTGGACCAATGATGTTTTCAAAGGAGCCTCTTTACAACTTTTCTAATATTTCAATTTCCATATAGGAAACTTTATTCCCTATAAAAAACCTTATGTATTTTTGGCTCTCACAGATTTCTTAAGCGATTGGCTGAGTTGCTATACCCATTTATGGGAGCGGCTTGATATTATTAGAAAAGTGACTATACGAATCAAGCCGACTCTGAGCGATGGATTTTTTACAGTTTTTCCACGACATACGTGCACATAGTCTAACAATTTAAAATCATTTAACAGATCCGTTCCAAAGGGGTTTAGAAATATTTTTCATTATTCTCATAAGAAACTAAACATATATTTTTAAATAGTAAAAGTTAAAAAATTTCACCTGCATAAAGCACGCCATCAAAAAGGTCATCCATTATTTTTGCCAGACCCTCTGCGGTAAGCTTGCCATGCAATGCGCCCACAAATACAGTTTTGGTTGGATCTAATTTCTGTGACGTAGACTTGACAAAATTTGAATCAGCGATAATCCATGGAATGACCTCAACCTATAGAGTATACAAATAAGATAAAATTAGCTGAATGAAGCAAAACTTCTTAAACGCGCAAAAACTTACATCCTTGGCTTTTATGCGTCGAGAAGAAATCTTGAAATAGTAAATTCCGCCACTCTGTGAGTCATCGACTTGTAAAACACAAGCAGATAGTAAAGCCCTCACTTGTTTGTCGGATTCAAAGATGATGTAGACATAGCCCTTCGGTTGCGCCGCCTGTTGCTCCTTGCCGGGCCACTCGACTCTGTAGAAGATAATAATGAATTTTATAAATCTCTACTGAAAGAAGATCCAGTGAGGTATACCTTACCTAATTTGTCCAAACGGTTTGAATATCTGTATAAGCGATTGTTCGCTTATGTCCCAAGGTATGCCGCCGAGAAACACTTTCGGCGAGTAGTTTAGCATGCGGTGTGAACGCGGCGGCAACTGCCCGCTCCAAGTGCAAGTGGCGTCATAGAGCGCTGCCGAACTGCGATAAAATTTCGCAATGCGGTCCAAATGCGCATCTGCGGCAGCGGCCGACTGCGGTTGCGCTTGTGGCTGTGGCAAGCCTTTGAACTGATTCATGCCATTGCTGTAGCCTTGCAATAAGTGATTGAGCAGTGGCACCTGTTGCGACTGGGCTTGCAGCAGCTTGAGGGTGTTGAATGCCTGCATATTTTGCAGCTTCGACAATTCCAAATCGACAGCGGTGAGCGCATCGAAGTTTTGCAATTGCTGTTCGTCGAAGAGATTTGTGGCAAAGCTTGACATACCGTTATTGCCATTCCCCAGATTGCCCAGAGAGGTAGTTGATGTTTGTTGCTGTTGTTGCCCGAATGGTAATGACTGCTCGAAATACAGTGATGATGGATGCTGTTGCGGCTGCGTTGACAGCTGTGATAGTTGTTGTTGCGACAATTGCGATGACAATTGCTGCTGCTGTTGCAGTAAAATTTGCGAGTCATTATTTTCGGCCACAGATAGCAAGTTCTATTGCGGTGTGAAGGATTTAAAGTTTAAGCAACATGTTTGGTTAAAAAATAATATAATATTTTTATTGACTTGCAGGCAACTTACGATCATATCAATCAAATTGTGCTCCACATTGGATTGATTGCTATTCTGACTCTCCGGCGAGTTCGAGCGACTATTCGAGAGACAACCACCAATGCCGCTGCCCACGAAATTATTCTGATACATCAACGGTATCGAATCAACCGATAGACCATTGGCGCTCGATGAGTTGCTGCCATCGCTAGAATTTCAAATTACAACGAGAACAAATATTTTCTGAATATTATCACTTATAAGTTGCCGTTTGAGCAGTAAGTGTTTATGAAATGTTAAATTATTTCTTTTAAAAAAGTTAAAAGTGAGCTTTACCTGACTAAAGGTGAATTCAGAAAAGAGCGATTGTAAAAAGTGGTGGGCGTACTTGGCGATAAAGGTGCAGAACAATCGAAGCTGATGTTTCTTTGAAATACCTTAAGTGGTGTGTTATTTTGTGCAACATTTTCAAACTAAAATCAAATTCGATCCCATTTCATTTAAAGAAAAAAGTAGAAGAACATACAACAAGAAAAGGAAAATAAACAATAAATATGTTAAAATTAAAAATCAAAATACATAATAGTTAATAATAGTTAAAAGAGAGTTTTTAGCGCAAAAAGGCAAAGATAAAAGTGTTAAATGCATTATTATATATTTTTTTAATATTAACTACTTTCTAAAACAATTTAAAATATCCAATAAATTGTATTTGTGAACAAATGTAAACCTATTTTAGATATAATATACGCTTAAATTTCTACTTTCAACCAGGCGTCTGTCACTCAAAATTGTATACCAAGCCCGACTAATATAAGCTAAAATTGAAAGCGCTCGTTTAATTTGTTACATTGTAGATTACAGTCAGATACAGTTACTTGACAGTTTAGACCCCTGTTGATGCAACACTAGAAATTATGGAAATGTATTTTTAAAATCCTCAATCGACCCTGTGAGCTTTTGACAGACTTCTGGATAGCTATAAAGAATTGCAAAGAAAATGTTTGTCTCTTATTCAATGTTAATTTTGATAGGTAGACTGAAATCAGGGCAACCTGCTACGGCATGTCAATATTTCTTTATTCGAGTTCCGAAATTGCATCGGCTAACCATGCGACGACCATAACTAATGCGAGAATCAATGCCTGGATTAATGCGATGATCAATGTAAGCCTTCATGGTTCATCTTTCGTATTGAACTCTGAAGATAATGTAATGCCAAAGTAGATGATCGATCCTTTTGAAAATTTTCCGACCATAACAGCCAATTGTGGTTCGGATACTAGCCGGTAACGGTTTATTAGACCTACTTGATATTAGGATTAATCACTATTTTCTGAAGTTAACATTGACAGTTAACGTTAATACCAAATATGAGACGACTCATCAGATTCTATCTAAAGGCGCTTGCTTTTAATGTGGTCATTTAGAGAAGATGTTGGATATAGGATTTGATTTCAAGTATGTATAAATATCACAGCGGAACCCATTAGCATGCATGCGTTAAGTATGTGCGGACCAGGTATGAATTGGTAAGGGCTCAGTGACCTATAAATCTAAATTGACTGACAAAATTTTTTACTTTTAATTAGCATCTGATAGTTTCTATTGCGTTCTTAGGCTGATCAATATCATGTTCAAGGTTATTAACGAAAATTTTTTATTATGTAGATTTTTAGAAACATCCTTTTCAAAGTTAGTGAGTTAATTTCCAAGAAAGGTGTTGACGATCATTAAGTTTGTTAATCAGAAGAAATATTGAGAGATAATAGTCATGTATGTATTATAAAAATTTACAGATTTTATCTTTTCTTAAAGATCCCAACTAGAAGTTCCCTTTTTGTGTAATCATTAATTTTTTTTTTAATACAGAAATATAATAGGTTTAACTTAAAGAAATCCATTATTTTTTTGCATTAAACTGAACGTTTTATTTAACATAGCCAGAATGATCAGATTCAATTCAAATATGTCCCGTTTTTTTCGTTCTCATAGAAACTCTTGGCCCTATGGCAAATAACTGGGATGATCGTGGTTTACAAGCGGATTTTTCACCAGCAAAATTATCCGTCTTAGGCAAGAACAGGAAATAATAAGTTGACGCAAGATCCGGACTATATGGTAAATGCATAAGAACCTCCCAACCAATCTACCGGAACTACTGGCGAGCCACTATCGATATGTATTTCCTGGCGTTGTCCTGATGGAATACAATTCCTCCCATATTGGTCAAATCTGACCGCTTACGGGCGTTTTCTTTCTTCAGACGGTACATTTGCTTGAGAGCAGCTCATACCAGATGATTCTCTGCCAATCTCAATGAACACATAGCAAAACCCTGACGGGCTGCGATTCAATCATGATTGTTTTTGGCTGACTTTGTCATCCCCAAGTAGCAGCGATTCGGAGATGGAAATTCGGTTAAAGAGTCAACATTTTTGAGTTAACTTTAGGTGCACTCATACACTCTAGGTGCACTCATAGCTTCGTATGGGTTTTTTTGTAATGTTTGACACTTGGGTCGATTGTCACAGTGCTTACAAGACGGTCGGACTGAGCGATTTTCATTCTTTTTACGATATCTTCGATGGTTGAAATTACAGACGATATCAAACTTATGGTGTATTGACTGATACGGTGTCAGGACTATTTACATTTTCAGTCGCATGGCTTAGGTTTATCAAAGAAATACTGTAAAACGCGTGCGTTTGACGTGTGCTCAAACAACATAGACTAAAACAATCAAAAAACTATATGACAAAGCGAAATACAGATTACTAAAGTAATCTACTAGAAAAATAATGGATTTCTCTTTTCTACACCTTATATGACCAGCCCCTATTCTTGTGTTTCCCAGCGTTTCACTCGAAATATTTCTGTTAGAAAAGTTAATTTAAAGTTGCTATTTTGTAGATTATAGTTAAAATACTACAAATTATACACTCTCAATCTTAGAGTTATAGCACATTTTTTATAACAATAACTTACATCAAACTTATAAGCGTGATTAAGTCAATTGCATCAAGTCATTTAAGCGGTAAAATTAGGCGCTTCTTTATATATTAGTTAAGCATATTTGTATTTAAGTAAAACGGCAGTGCAGTGCAAAAGGGTGCATTTAACACACTACTGTGCGAAATAACAAAAACAATTAGCTGCAATATTATTACGGTTACTTAGTTGCAGACGCTAGCTGATGCCAAATAGGGCAAAGCTTTTAACTTCCGATAATTCGCAATAAAAATACTCACCTGAAAGATATCAAAAGAATTTGCTGACAGGGTGCCGGGCGAGGCAGATGATTGCGATGAACTTGGTGTTAATGGCGTGTAGGCGGCCATCGAAGTAGACAGCGTGTCCCCATTGGTGCCCAACAACAGCGGATTTGTGGTCGATTTGCCAAAGCCAAGGAAATCATTAATGGCAATCGGAGGTTCTATTGGAGAGATAAAGAGAAATAAAGGAGGTTAATATAGAACTTGAAACATATTCATAGATGCACGTATATATGTGTGCATTTTATTTCAGCTTATTGATTTTCGGCATGATTTTTCGATATTTGTTGCTGAAGACGAGGAGAGGAAGGAGGTATGTATTGTGTCGGAGTTCCGCATTTGACTATTTTATATGTATTTGCAATTATTATGAACGGACACAGCTCCAATCTAATTGGTTGGCAGGCTACAAAATGCCGCTCACATAAAGAACAAAATAATGATAAAGTTAAAAAAACAACAACGAATACATTTTATACACACACTTACAAGTTTAGGTAGATATGTAATATATGTATGCGTGACGTTTACAAAATCAGGGTGATGCAATAGGTAAATGTATTGAGGTAAATGAAAGCACAAAGTGTTAATATATTATATATTATATATCAGAGTCAGTAATTTTGCTTTGCTAAAATTTTTATTTCTACCAAAGACAAAAAAAAACAGTAATTAAGTAGATTTTTTAGTATTAATATATTAAACGAGTATATATATAAAGTGTTAATATATTATATACGAGGGATATTCAAGGGAAAAGGTGAATTTGAAATATTTTTGAAAAGTACTCATTCATTCATCCATATCTATTTTGTCTCCTTCAAAGTAATCCCCCTCAAGTACACTTGTGTCAACGCTTTTTCCAACCCTCGAAGGATTTTTCGGGATAACCATCAGCTATTTCTTCGATTCTGCCTTGTTCTCATCAATTGTGGCAAAACGCCATCCTTTTATTGGTTTGTTCAGTTCTGGGAATAGGAAAAAGTCGCAGGGAGCCAAATCTGATCAAATATGACCCGTTTGAGCAAACCCGGGGACATTGCTTTTGCTCAAAATTTAGTAATTTCAGAATAAACTTCTTTTCTTCGCTTGTTGACGTGGTCCCACCTTCAGGATGCTGATCGTCATCAACATGTTCTTGGCCTTCCATAAGGCGCTTGGACCACTTATAAACACTAATTTTAGACAAAGTGTATTTACAGAATGCAACAGTCAACATTCCATTTTTAACGCAAAATTTAATACATATTCTTTGATCCATTTCTTTCAAAAATCAGAAATCGAAGAACACACAAAAACGTGACTAACCTTTTCTGTGGGCAAAAACAAACTACTAATCGAAATTGGCTCGTAATGCAAGCACATGAGAACATATGTGTCTCATTATAACAAAAACAAAATATCGTTAATCGAATGTACACAGCCCATTTTCCTTGAACACACCTTGTATACGAGTATGAATCTGTAATTTTTTTTATTGAAATAATTATTATTTTGAAGCAGCTGTCTACCAAAACCAAAAACAAAAAACAATGACTAAGTAAATTTTTTATTGAAGAAATCTTTCCTGTTAGAGGGATTTTTGAAATCGCCTCTTAGCGTTCAAATTTACATTAATAAAATTCCCGAGTTTTAAATAGGGTGAGTGCAAATGATCCACTTAAGATAATATACTTTATATAGTCCATATTCCTTTAGTTATTTTGTTACGCTGTGAAAATTATCACAATTGTATACTCATACCCCAAAGTGGTCGAAAACGGAACATATATTTTTAAACCCCGAATTGAAAAATAAAAGGAACTCAGTGCCTAGAACATCAAAGTGCATCTTTTCCCGATAAAAAAGGTGACTTTGCGTCAAAAATGGGTAAAATCGGTTCAATAAATCTCGAGACCCATATATGTATTGTACTTAATATTAATATTTTCAAACTTCCGTTAAACCTTTTGTGTTAAACCTATACCCTTAATAATAAAAGCATCAGAGGATCTAAAAAATGATATGAATCGGCTCAACGGTTAATGATTTGGGTATGAAGCGTGTCAATGCTAGACTCTTACCAGGTCGCAAAAGAGATGCACGACAACGTAGCTGAAAACTTTACATTGATCAAATGTATCATTACATTTAACGAGACGTGGGTTTATGAGTATGCGACGAAGCTGCCCAACCGTGTGCCGTGTTGTGGATCAGAATGAACGGTCAATAAAAAACTACTTGGCCGTTTTAAGGTGTCTACGTGAACCAATTCGATTTGTTCGCAGAAAACTCACGGCTTTTTCACCAAGCCACGGAGAATGCGCTTTGTCAGCCAGGGTCAAATTTTTAAATTTTTAAAATATAAACCCGGTTTGATATTTGCAAATTGTGAACGTATAAAATGTTCGGTTACACCCAAACTCAGCACTTACTTGTTTTCTCTCATTTTTTCTTATCGATTAATTTAATTTCTTTCAAATAATATAAAATGAGTCGATTTTTCTATATTTGATTTGCCAACTCTAATCCACATACCCTTTATATATATATATGTAAGCGCAGTGAATGCAACACTGTATAAAATTCGTTAAAATGGCGACAGCAGAAGTCAATTGGTGCTGGGCGTATAACATGACTACTAGGGGACAACACTGAAGAAGGCCATCAGAAACAACAAAAATAACTTAAACATATTTATATGCTATGTTTTTATGTGCAATTGTTTGTGTTACTTGCACTCAAACGCAAGCAATAATAATGCCTGTTAATGCAATGAAATATGCCCACAATAAATCAAATTTATCTGTAGTAATTTTTATTTCTGCAACTATTAGTATCACTATTGCCGTTGTTGCATGCAACCATGAGTGCGTTGTTTAGTTGTTGTTGTGATCGCCAACACTGTCGCATACCCCATTGATGAGCAGCTTCAAACACGCATACACATGCATATATATATAGGTATAACGGTATATTACATTTATAAGTATGTTGCCATAATATTAGTGCGACTTTGCCGCCATTTTGCCTTTGACATTCTGCATTTCCTTTGCCTACTCTTTTAGTTTTCTTTTAAACTTTTCAAGTATAAAGCAAATATAATAAATTAAAAGCATATATGTGTGTTTGTATGGTATGTGTTTTTCCGCCTCCGGTGCTCAATTCGGTTAGAAGGCGATGGCATTTTATGCCAATAGGCTGAACAGCGTGTATGGTACTTGGCTCAGCATAAATACTGGCCGAATAAAATATTTCTTCGAACTTGAGATTGCCCACACGGCGCACAAACACATAAAGCCATTGAAGTGTAATATATGCAAATATAATTAACTGCGAATATATATATATATATACATATATATCTATATATGAAGTATATCCGATATCTGTCACAGCGTTCAATTGCCAAAATCGAATGAATATTGTGTTGGTGGAAGGCTTCTTCATTTTTGAATGAGTGAATCAATATTTATTTTGATATTTTCTATGAAGTTACCATTCTTGAAAATTCTTAAGTTCACTTATTTGGAAATATTTATTTCTTCGTGCTCTAAAAAAGTTATACTTGAGTGGAAAAATATGAGCGTGTTTACTTTGCAACACATAAAACTATAAAATGATTACTCTTCAGTAAGCGTCATAATTCTAGGAGTTTGAAAAATATACAATAAACCAGTCGTCTAATCGAAAATTTAGAAATGCAGTAGATGATATAATGACGAGTGAAAGTATTATTATACTCATAAGGGTACTCTTTTTAATCAAAAACGAAACCAATTTAGGGATGGAAAGATTTGTGGTATACATTCACTTCGGTTGCACCGAAGTTATAAGACCCTTCAAACTACAAAGTATTGCTTACAAGAACTAGATTTTGATCGGTCAGTTTATATGGCAGCTGTACTATCTTTTTGGAGATTGCATTATTGTCTTAGACAATAATCCCTGCATGCAGTTTCTTGGGGAGGAAAGGACGTGTGCGAAATTTCTGATCGCTATCTCAAAAACTGAGGAACTAGTTCGCGTATGTACAGACAAACGGACCGAAGAAGAGACAGACGGACATAGCTAAATCGACTCAGGTCGTTATTCTGATCATTTATATATACATACATATATATTATAGGGTTCCGATGTTTCCTTCTGGGTGTTACAAACTTCGTGGAAAACTTGATATACCCAGTCCAGCGTATAAAAACGTAAATTAAGACTGCAAAAAAGCTAAAAAATTGCTTATAATTTCTATACATATATTTTGTAGGGTCTCTGACCTTTCCTTCGGGGTGTTACAAACTTCGTGACGAACTTAAAATGCCCTGTGCAGGGTATAAAAACAGAGAAATGCTCTAAAAATAAAAGGTTTGCTTAAAACAACTAATTACAACTCAAGGGATCCTGGAGAAGAAAATGCTGTTCCATATCAGTGTGCTACTACAAAGTGTTGAATTCCCTTTCATTTTGAAAATTTTCCAATGGCCAGACTTGTGTTCAAATTTAAATTAATACTAAAATTTAACGATCTCTTTTTTTTGCAGCTAATATTCAAATCTGTATGCAAATATACGTAATCTAACAGGATAATTTTAGAAAATGTAAAAATGGATTGATGCCAAATATTTTTGAGTGTCGCTAAAAAGAATTTGAAAGAGAAAATAGTATAAAATGAAATATCAAAAGATTTGGCAGAAGCGAGCTTCCCAATGTAAATGCAATAGTCACCACCAAGGTAGAAATGACAGAGAATGAGCAACTAAAACCTGTGTATATAAGGGCAGTTTAACTGGAAGGGAACTCAATTCCAAACCAGTACTCTCTGAGTTTACATTTAACAGCAACAATTTCTGCACTAATGAATGTGCATTACAGCCAAAGATTTCAATGAATTTTAATGGCCAAATAAACAACTTGTGAATGTTGCAAAAAACATTTTTTAAAGTAACAGAAATTTTTGTATAAATGACCTATCTTATGCAAAGTGTTATGTGCATTTAGCTAGAAAGTTTCTTAAGTAAACTGGAGATGCAGTATTGCTAGTAAGGCGTTCGGAAAAGCCAATCCCCTCAATAATAACTGTTTATATTGTAACTCAAGAATCACTAGCAAGTTAGGTTAGGTTAGCTTAGGTTAAAAGTTCGATCTTTATGGAGAGATGTCTACCAAATTTGTTGAGTCGGTTAATACCAATTCCAATGTTTCATCCTCAGTCATGCAAAAGCTAGACATTGAAGGATAAAGTGCCTGAAGTGAAAACACCTTAACTTACTCTATGTATACCTCCGGTTGCGGCAAGATGATCTTTTGCTAAGAGTAAGTAGTGCAGTGAATCCCATGCGTTTTACTCTATATCAGAAGGATCTCCCAGTGGCATAGGAACTAGTTGTAAAGCGAGACTCTTAGGTTCAGCGCTGGAACACAAAGGCAAATCCAATGTAATTGGGAAAATGGTACCCATTATTGCGAGCTCTTCGGCTTTGCCGTTTCCGTAGATGCCACTAAGGTCAGGCACTTAAACGAATCTGATACTGAAGCAGCTTGTCGCTATTGTTAGTGAGTACAGACATTTTTTGACTAACTCTGAACACACAGTGAACATCGTTTAATGCTAGTATTACAGCTCTGCTATCGGAGTGAACGCTCACCTCCTTCAAATTGAACGTATTTTGAAGCAATATATGTACTGTTACCTTAACGGCAGCCACCTATAAGATCCTTATGGATAACTCCCTCTCTAACCTTTTCCCTTAGCTTCGATCCATTAGCCATAGTAGTCCAAGTATTTATGGATGAAGTCGAAGTAGGAAATTATAGGTTGTCAAATATCTCCCTTCCGCTTTTTTGTCTTTTGAATTTCGCGGCTATGTACAAAGCGCTACAGAGCTCGTATCTGGCAACACTATACATAATTTGAAAGGTCTTGACATAACCTACAAAACAACGCTATGCATGATTAGTTTGGATATTGCGTTCAACAGTTATAGACGTGTAAACATGGAGTTCACTAACGCCGAAATTCGCGCTATTTTAAAGTTTTCCTTCGTTAAAGACAAATCCGCTAGAGAAACGTTCCGTGAGATTAATGGTGTTTTTGGGGATGGTACTCTATCACTTCGAACCGCGGAGGAATGGTTTCGACGATTCAGAGCCGGTGAAAACGACACGATGGATAAGCCAGCCGGCGGAAGACCTGTGACGACAAATACCGATTAAATCATGGAATACATCGAGTTAGACCGGCATATGGCATCTCGTGACATCGCCCAGGAGATAGGAGTTAGTCACCAAACCGTCACCAAAAGTTTGATGTTTGGGTGCCGCATAATTTGACGCAAAAAAACCTTCTGGACCGAATCAACGCCTGCGATATGCTGAAACGGAACGAACTCGTTCCATTCTTGAAGCGGATGGTGACTGGCGACGAAAAATGGATCACATACGACAATATCAAGCGAAAACGGTCGTGGTCGAAGGCCGGTGAATCGTCCCAAACAGTGGTCAAGCCGGGATTGACGGCCAGGAAGGTTTTGCTGTGTGTTTGGTGGGATTGGAAGGGAATCATCCACTATGAGCTGCTCCCATATGGTCAGACGCTTAATTCTACTATCTACTGCGAACAACTGGACCGCTTGAAGCAGGCGATCGACCAGAAGCGTCCAGAATTGGCCAACAGGAAGGGTGTAGTCTTCCACCAGGACAACGCCAGACCACACACTTCGTTGATGACTTGTCAGAAGCTACGGGAGCTCGGATGGGAGGTTTTATCGCATCCACCATATAGCCCGGACGTAGCGCCAAGTGATTACCACCTATTCCTGTCCATGGTGAATGCCCTTGGTGGTGTGAAGTTGAACTCAAAAGAGGCTTGTGAAAAGTGGCTGTCCGAATTCTTCGCAAATAAGGAGGGGGGCTTCTACGAGGAAGGTATTATGAAGTTGCCGTCTAGATAGAAACAGATCATCGAACAAAACGACGCATATTTTAACTAAATCCGATCACTGTAACACTTTTTATAAGGCATTGAATGAAGAGAAAAAAAGCGGAAGGGAGATATTTGACAAACTAGAATGTTCTTTTTCGGACCTCTTCATGTACCCAGATGCACCGAATCTTACAGTTCATCATCGCAGAGGTGGGATATCATTTATAAATTAAATAATTACCTAATATTCACATAAACGAAGTAGTAAATCAAATTCTTCAAAATTTAGGCTTGTTTTGACATGAGTAAATTTTCATATTATTAGATAAGACAATTCTATGAGATTAGAGGTTCTTACTATGTTGGTTGATTATAATTATTTATTAGAATTTTACTTAATTTTATATAAATGGTTAAATACGAAACTACCATTTGGAGGATGTGGATTCTAGACTCGGGCAGGTAAAACATAAACGAAAGAGTTAATATGAAAATCTATACTTTCTTTACGCATGAAACGCATCAAATTTATTAGCGATTAGGACATAGTCTTGCCATTTGTAGGGTTTCTACATTTTTTTTGAAGCAGTACTTCGACATTTTGTAGTTTTAGTAAAACATTAGTAAGTTAAATTTGTTTTAGAGAGCTTACCATTTAAAGCTGTTATTAGCTCATCAGCAGTCTCATTTCGTCTACTTAGGAAATCTTGGCGTTGTTCCAGCAACGAATTAATCGAGTGTTTTGTTAGAATATCAGCACCAGCACTTGATAAGGACCTCATATTGGCAGCTGTTGAATCATGCACATCAAACTGTGGAGAAAGAAGAAAAAATATTTTTTTATTGGTATCTATATATTTATTTGTATATTTTACTAGAATTTTTTATATGTTTTTTAGGATCGGACAGACATTTATTATATGTATATTCTACAAGTATTATGCATATTTAACCTTGTGTGCCGGGGCGTATACGTGACATTGAAAATGCATGCCCGAAAGCACACTTGCATTGTTCGATATTTATGGGCGTATGTGTCTGTATTGCACTACATTGTAGCAGCAGCTGAGTTGGCACAGTCGGTGCAATTGCGAATGACGCGTTTGAAAAACCGCAACAATTTGAAACTAATGAATCGCTTACTTTTCCCATGAATTTTCGAATCCACTCAGTGGCGTGCGGCCACTTCAGTTGCCAGCGCGAAATGCCACGAAGAAAGCACAGTGAATAGCACACCAATACGCGGGCGCACACTTAGAAGCATGAGCATTGCCACGAATGAACACGTAATAGCAGCAACAAATCATTTTGTCATCGCCGAAGCAGCGGAGGTATTTCCCAGTAACTCAACGATTGCAATAAAAACCGAAACCGAATGGCGGCCAACAGTGCGCTCACACAAACAGCAGCCGCCACAGGCAAGCAAACCACGACTACAACAACAATAACTGCAACAATAGTAATAGCTTTACAACCCACCCACTCATACACACGAGGTGGGGGAGGGCGAACACCAAACATCGCACACAACGGGGTGTAGGGGAGTTCGGGGCGTACTTAGTGTGGCAAGTTTAGTATTGTCGACACCATCAATGGCGTGGCATGCAATGTTAGTTAGCCATAACAACAACATAATACTCATAAAATCACCAACACTTTTGCAACACCATCGAATAGTGAGTGCGGACTCTTAAGTGTTTGGCGCAATTAAAAGCGCATCAAGTGTCAGTGGAGCACCATTAAAAGACCAAATTAGTGCAAACATTGTTATCAGGCACTCACCAAACAATTTGGCAAAAATGGCGTACAACTCATTACGCCAGATTAACGAAAATTATGGCAACAAGTGATTGCCGCTCATACACAGGCACACAAGCAACCACATACACGTGCTAGCACCCGCACTTATGTAAGCAAACCAGCACTGCCGTTACTTTCGAACAAATACTCACACATATAGACACTTCCGGGGCGAGAAGTCACTTCTCAACAGTACTTGCACAACTATTTCCCCAAGTACAGCGCGCACGCTTTTGAAGACGTTCTCATATTAAGTAACGTGCAACATACACCGCTCACCGCATTCCGTTGCCGTTGCAGTCCATCGCACGGCATCGCATTGACTTACGTAATAGAAACAAATGCGTAATTAACGTACGAAAGCAAAAACACTTCTAAATGGCGCACACACTAGTGACTCTATATATGCATGTACATATGTGTGTAGTGTGCGTCCTGAAAGGATGGTTGTAAGCATTGCTCATACTTTGCTTACATAATTAAATACATGCATGCACACATACAAATGGAGAATACGTGAAAATCAAATGAACAACTTTCTTGGCATTTGTTCATTGGCTTCCTACTCGTGGAAAACTGACTACAACGATACCCTAAGGTGAGGATTTAGCAGCTAGGGTTGTCGTGCAGCTAAGCTCAGATTATTATTTTTTAAGTACAGTAATTTATTTGCAGCGAAGTCTTCAGAGTAGTTGAGAATATTTCAGCCTATGGTGTGTTACTAATAATTTAGAAAGCATAACCCTTCCAGTTTATACACAAGGTGAAAAACTTTTCCTCAAGCTTTGAGAGAAGATGCAAATTTGTAAATGATGAACATGAAAAGGATTGATGTTTGTATATTATATGGCAGCTATATGTTATAGTGATCCGATTTGAATAATTGGAGCGGAGATTGTAGCATTGTCAAACAATATAGATATATATATACCTTTCCAAATTTCATGAAGACATCTTGTCAAATAAAAAAGTTCCCATACAAGAATTTGAGTTTGATCGTTTAGTTTGTATGGCAGCTATGTGTTATAGTAATCCGATTACAGGGCTGCCTCTGATAATAATTTGTGCAAAATTTTGTCAAAGTACTTTGACAAATGCAAGAGTTTTTCATACAAAGACCAGACAGTCCAGACAGACGAACATGGTAAAATCGATTCAGTTCGTCACGATGATCATTAAAATTTTATTTTATTGAGTCACTAACGTTTCCTTCTGTGTGTTACAAAGTTCGTGGCAAGCTCAATATCCCGGCTTAAAGTGTACAATAAATTAAGAGAAATATGTGAGTTCTCCTGGTTATTTTCCTCGAAATTCGATTTGATGAATATAAAAAAAATATATAAAAAGTTTGATATTCCTGAGTGGATTCAATTTTCTGTAAATCTAATAATTGATTGCTTGGTTTAAACAGAGTTGAATACTCGAAAATTAAAGTCATAAGAAGCAGTATCTCGTGATTGTATCTGAATGTACTGATGTATTAGGTCAAGCGTAAGTCTAATTTCTTTCGAATTTTTTTGGATGGTAAATACTTTTCACCCAAGTAGCGTTTGTTTTGCCCATTCATGCTCAAATATTTAATTAATTAATTTTTTTTCGCCTTTTTTCTGTGTTTTCGCAGTATATATTGTACATATTTAGAATAGTGCAGAAGACTTTGAAAATGGTAATGAGTAAATTCATAGTAGGTTGAAACCTATTGGAAGCGAAAGATAAAATCACAAAAATGAAAGAAAAAATAATTAATAAAAATAATATTCTGAGATCGGGAAAAAGAAGAGAGATTTTAATTTAGAGATTTGCGGCAAAACTAAGAGTCCTATAGAAATAGGTAAAGTAGGTAATGAGTTTTTATTTACAACTTTTGTATTAACACCTTTTTCACATAACCTCAAAGTTTATGTGATACATTCAAATATTCAAGTTAATGGGTTTTTTATTTTTATCTTGTACAGTAGAAAATTTTCTTTCATCCTACTATGAATTTTTTTGCATTCAAAACTTATCTACTCTAGTCTAATTAAAAAGATGGAAACTAAATTATGTTTTTAAGTTTTTATTTATTTGTCTTAATACTATGCATAAATAGTAATGAATGTATTTTCATGTGGTGTGAAAAATATATATATTTTGTAAAATGTTGCTCAGGCAGATGACATCCCAAATTTAGCCAATGTTATTTTTTGATACGGGCGGAAATTCATTTCCAGTGGCAACCCTATTGTACTTATTTATATATTTCAAAATAGGAGGAAAATCTACTTCAGCACTCTTGCAGTGTAAAACTTGCTACAATTTTTTGAAAATAAATTCAGTTATATAAACATTATTTGCCTGCAGACACCACAAACACTATGCCTCCAGCAATATTCAGCAAAGTCTTAAAATGAAGGACAATTTAATGAGGTAAACCGAAAGCGCTTACGAGCTTGACACGTAATGTAATGACACATTTTCCAGTAGTTTAGCCTCTTCTGACATAAAGCCAACTTCGAGTGCATGCAAATACTTGCTCGTAATTGAGTACCTTAACCATATGCGCTGCCGATCAGGTGAAACATTGGTTCGAGGTGCCCCAAAGACTGCTCCAAAATGTCCAAATACATACTTGTATATACGTAATGACATTGCATAATCTATGATCAGACATGTGTGTGTCGATGCCGCATGCAAATGGTACGAGTAATGCGGGGTAATACGCCATGACACATGCTCCATGAAATCTGTGAAATTCATGAAATCACCACAAAATGCGAGTGCTTATGGTTTGCGACTGTCCGGTTACTGAGTGCGGCGAGAAAAATGAAGTAGAAAATGCTATGGCAGCAATAAAAATGAAAGTGGCGGAAATGGCCCGTAGCAGCAATGCAACGACATCACCGCTGGTGTCAATGATGGCTTTGCATTTCTGTTACAAACACGCGACACAATGCAGTGCATAAAATAAGCTAGTTTAGTATTTGATGTGTGGGCGAACTACAGATAGCGTAGTATCGGATTCCAAGTGGTGCGTTTTGAATGAGTTCAAGTCCATTGCACGTTCATACGCACGTTTCTTAACTAGGCTGCTGATAATTTAACTTCTTTACTCTGTCTGAAAAATACGATTTTGGGTGTTCTGAAAAATTGGTCTTCAAACCTTCTTATTCGACTTAAATATCCGGGTGAGCGAATTTATCAAGATAACCAATTTCGTAGTTTACTTCGTTCAAATTGCATTGTCGTTGGGTCGTTTTTTGCAATTCGGCGCCAGCTTGGCTTAGTTAGAGATCATTTTGGCCATCTCCACATTGTCGATGTAGATCACACCTTGTGAATCTCAGAAAGTAGCGGGGACTTTTTTTGCGGACGATAGAAGAATTTTCGGCTTCTTCAAAGCCTATTTTAACTGCTCTTTAGCCTTTCATATGTTATTCGACCGTCATAACACAATGCAGAAACTTCTTTATATTGCGCTTAAATGGTGAAGTGGTCTTCCGGTTGCGCCTATTATCTGAGAGAACGGCACATTCAGCGCTCCCAAAACTTTCTCATACTTAAAATTTCTTCAGGATATGATACAGATGATCTTTTGAAGATGCCGCCTGTCTCAGTTCTGTTGAATTTTTGTCCGATACTGCTTACGAAAATATAATCTTGTATATGATAGATCTCATGCGATAGTGGTGCCATCAAGTTGTGAGACTAGACGTGCGTCCTCGTATATTACAAATACCAATACCAATACCGAAGATTTTGATCTTACTTCACATTTCGATTGGCGCCTATTCCGAAACGACTGTCAGAATAATGTCACTTGAGGGATATTCAACACTCTAAAGTTTAAGCTAGACTGAATTATAGTCCGAAGAAATAAAATTTTTAAAGTAATACGTGAGTTGTGGATGTTTTACATTGGACTCAAGAAGAAATCAAGTAAGAATAGGTCAATAATCAGTAAAAGACGTATTTTGGCGTGTAAAGTTGCTATGTTTACTAAAAAATGAGACTTCAAACTAAACTTGAAAATATA